TTGATTCAGGAGCTAGTCAACATATTTGCAATTGTGTGCAGGGACTAGTAGGAAGTAGAAGACTCGGAAAAGGAGAAATGGTACTAACTGTGGGTAATGGCACTAAGGTAGCTGCCAAAGCTGACAATAGATTGAGATGATAGGTCCCTATAGCTTTGGCAGCTACCTTAGTGCCATTACCCACAGTTAGCACAATTTCTCCTTTTCCGAGTCTTCTACTTCCCACTAGTCCCTGCGTACAATTGCAAATATGTTGACTAGCTCCTGAATCAATTATCCAGGTAGAAGTATTAACTGTAAAAACTGTTTCAAGGACAAGAGTGTTACCTTCCGGTGGCTTGTTCTTTAAGCTTGCGAGGCAATCCTTGCAATTCCTCTTCCAATGTCCATTCTTTCCACAGTGAGAGCAAGTTCCTTTCGGTTCCTTACCTTTCTTTCTTATTTTTCCTTCCTTGGATTTTAGAAAACCTTTCTTCTTCTTTCCTTTATCCTTACCTTTCAATTCGGATTTGGAAAAGGAGAAAGAACTCTTTTCAAGCATCAAAACTGTCCCTTTTAACCCTTTATCCTTTGAGATATTCTTTTCAGCTACTGTAGCCATATTGAGCAGCTCAGATAAGGTGCTTTCCATCTTTCCCATATCATAGTTCATAACAAATTGGGAAAAATCTGATGAGAGGGACGAAAGAAAAAAGTCTTGTTGAACTTCAGCATTAAATGGAGAATCCAATTTTTCCAATTTCTCAAGTAATGATATTATCTTGAGACCATGCTAATTAACCGGAGTCCCTCTTGTTATCTTTGTGTTGACAAGTTCACATATTGTATTGTAACGCAAGCTACGAGCAGCTTCACCATAAAACTCATTAAGGTGAAGCAATATGGAAGTTCAATCATCCATATCTTCATGTTGTTTTAGTAGCTCATCGTTCATGGATGCTAGTAAGTAACATTTACCTATACTATCATCCTTGACATGCTTCTCGTAAGCATTTCTTTCTCCTTGAGTGGCTGTTGGGTCGGGAGGAATATGTGGTGGGACTTGTGTCAACACATAATCAATCTCATCCATTTTAAGGACAAGTTTCACTTTGCGAAGCCAACCCGGATAGTTCGTGCCATCAAGGATGTAATTGTTAAGTATCGATGAGATTGGGTTTTTAGCAGCCATTTGAAAATTCTGCAACAACATAAACAAATTTTAGTTTAGATTAATCTTCTACCAAGGACTTAGGGTCTTTAAGTCATGATGGTAGCTCCTACTATTTTTGGCAAATTTCATATCCCTCTTGAAATCTGAGAGTTTCCGTTGAAACTCTCAGTGGGGATGGGAGTCTCAATTTCACATAGTTTTCCTCAAACCTAACAGTTTGTTGGATTGCTATCTTGTTAATGAGATGATACTCTTATCCAATCACATCATTTATGTGAATACCCATCACCATGCCCTCTAGAGAACTAGACCTCAACCTAACAGTTTGTTGGTTTCGGTCGTCTTAGTTAAGTTATTCCCACAAGGTTTGTGGGTATAAAGTTTCAACTATGACCTCAACCTAACAATTTATTGGCCGCACTCGTTATCTGTCCGCACTACATTAAGTATGTGTAATAGGCTCCCCTTGGATGGTCACAAGTACTGGATGTTGCCTCACTGAGGTACAACAAAGTGTAAATGTGCCACCCAATAAGACACTACCACAGTGGAAGGCCACAAAATAGCATTCAAAGTGTCATTTCGCTTATCAACTTAATATTGCTTTGAGGTAGTTAAATTGGTCTCATTTTAATCCAATTTTAATTCTGTTAAAATTACCTATCTAATCTCATTAAATGGTTCCCAATGCAACATATTAGTAGCACATAGTACTTCCACTAAATATTTTAGAAACCATTTACTTGAGATAGTGAGAATACATGGTGCTACTAATTGGTTAATTATTGTTATTACCGAACATTCCAATTGCATTGGGCTTATAGAATGATTATGGACTTTCTTGTTAATCCAACACGATCCACCATGTTGGATCACGGTCTTCGATGGTGATTCATTTTAATTACGGGCATATAAAAATAAATTAGGCATGAAAGCCATTTCCTTATTACATAGCCAATCAAAATCGAATACATATCCAATAAGCGGCCAATCACATAGCTCAATTGTTTGGTCTAAGTCCATAATCATCCTTTAATTATTTAAATGCTTTAAACAATTAAACTAGCAATGTAAGTACATGCTCTTGGGTTGCATACATATATATAGGTTTAATTCAAGTGGTAACCATATTCAAACAAAATAAATTTACCATGGAGTGAAAACATTTTACTACAATAGTAAATGTAATTGTAGAAACCTTTTAGGCATAGTTACACTTATCATATATTGCAAGTAGGTCCAAAATTATTCAACAATTAATAATGGATCCAATGTTGATCCACTAGGGTGTGGGGTTAAGGCATGCATTTTTATACACAAAGTGGTGATCATGATTAATCCAACAAGGTGAATAATCATGAATGTGACTAGGTAGGCCAACCACACTCACCAAAGTAATCAAAATTAATTTTAGTGTGGTGGGCAAATAATTGTTGATAGGAATAATTTGATCAACTTTTGCATTTTATATCAAATCACCATCATTTACATCAAGATGGACCCTACACACTCACCCAAATAATCTTATTAATTTTAGTGTGGTGGGTAAATATTTATCAAGTGGAAACATTTTGAAAAACTTTCAATTTTATAATAAAACATCATCTTCATCTTTTGAACCTATCTTGGTGGAAAATTCCACTAACACAATCATCAAAATTAGTCACCTAACTTATGGATCAAAAAGATCTCATAACAAGAACATCAAGAACACCAAGAACACACATATATGAACTAATATGAATGTTCATGCTATTTCCGGAAAAATCCATATTCCATTTTAACCATCTCATGCTCTTAATATCAAATATTTCATGAAGTTAAATCATGTAGGTTTTAATGCAACCGTGCTCTAGTGTTCATACATACATATATGCATACAAATAGAGCATCAATCATCAAAACATAAAACCGGAAATTCAAAATCCCAAACAATCCTTTTTCACTGCATTTGGTTTTTATTCAATCATATCAAAACAAATCAAGTATAACTATTATACTTCGGAATGAATTTACAACCCATATATGCAGTCTAAACCCTAGAAACATATCAAGTTCATGACCTATGGCTCTGATACCAATTGTTGGTTATAAAACATTTTCAAGAAGTTCATTTGAATATTAAACATGCATTTAATCAAATTAATTGCAGCAGAAGAATATAGTGGTTGTTTAAATTCAAAAACAAAACTTCTTCCAAGTATCTTAAACCATGAAAATTGATATGATTTCATAAAATGAAAGTACAAGAGAAAAGGATAAGTTCCAATTACCCTTGAAGCTATAATATGAACCAAGTTGTGTTTTAGTCTTCTATTGATGATTTCCCTTTGTTCATCTCCTCTTTGATCTTTCTTCTACTTGTGAGCCCCAAAAGGATATGGCCTCTAAGTCTCCACACCAATGGAACCTTGAGATGAGAGGGAAGAATCTTGGGAATTCAAGGATGCTAGTGCAAGATCCCTAGACTTGGTTTCAATCTAAACCCCGTGAAAGATGATAGTGTTTCATTCTTGAAAACTCACTTTTATCTCTCTTTGATCTTTCAAACCTATTTGGTTGATGTTGGATTGTGTTTGTGTGTTAATGAGCTTATGGAAACAATTCCCATACACATTTACTTAAGCATTTTCGGCCAAATCCCATTGGGCTTCCAAAATTGGGCCTTATGACAATTAAACCATAATATTTAGGTGTCTTAAGCCCGTGGGCTTGATACCCAACCATTTGGGCTTCCCGTTAACTATTACCGAGGCCCAAATATGTTTTTACACGCAGTAAATCATCCACATCAAATCAATCAAATTGATTTCTTATTCTCATTTTTATTACTCAAAGTTAACCATTTAAGGTGTGCGATCCATTAGGTTCTAATTTAGCAAGTGATCAGTGCATAATTACATATCATTTTGTACCCCTATAACTAATAATTTGGATATGTTTTTTAGTTAAACTTGTGCTTTTAATCTCTTTTGTGTTTGTTTCAGTGTATTAAGCTTTGAGACTCATTTAATGCATTTTGGAGTCAAGTGAGCTCAAAACTGTGTCTGCAGATTAGTCAAATTCACGGATTGGACTGTACTTGCTCAGGAAGAACCAGATAATGAGCCAAACATGATTGGAAAGATGCAGAAGTCTAGGTTTTGAAGAATTTTACGGTTCATGATTCCGAATCTTCTAGAGGAAGTTATGCAAGTTTTGATAGCTTAAGGTCAAATTCGACAGCATATGTGTTACTATGCCAAAACTGACATTTGAAGGGCTTTCCGATTTTTCCTTGAGCTATGCTGCATATGGTTGGAAAGATAAGATAAAGAGCTTCAAGATCCAGATTTTTCCAGATTTTACAGAATAGAGGAACAGAGAGGAAGTTATGCAAGTTTTGATAGCTTAAGGTCAAATTCGACAGCATATGTGTTACTATGCCAAAACTGACATTTGAAGGCCTTTCCGATTTTTCCTTGAGCTATGCTGCATATGGTTGGAAAGATAAGATAAAGAGCTTCAAGATCCATATTTTTCCAGATTTTTCAGAATTGAGGAACAGGCCCAAAACAAGCCCAAAATAAGACTGCAATGCATTGTCATGCATGACATATGCATGAGCTAATTGTTTGTGGTGGGATTTGTTAGTGGAGTTTTGCAGCAGCCAAAAGAAATAAAACAAGATGAAGTGGGAGCTGCAACAGTAGCCAAATAAGAAAAGAAGTTGATTTTCTATTGCATACTCAATTCAGATTTTGACTCCCCTTAGGCCTATAAATAGTGAGGTTTTCCAAGCTTGTAAACACACCCCAAGGAGGGGAGCTCTCAAACACCTCTCTAGAGCTCCTCTCCCTTTTCTTTCTCAAACACTTTCTCCCCCTTCTCTTCTTCAAATTCTCTAAAGCTCTCAAACACCTCTCCCTTCTCAAATTCTCTAAGGCTCTCAAACACCTCTCCCTTCTCTTCCCAAAGTTCTCCAAGTTCTCAAACACCTCTCTCTTC